ATATATCTTGCACGAGATTGCATGATTAGTAGCATGAGTTTGCTTATTATATATCTTGCATGAGATTGCATGATTAGTAGCATGAGTTTGCTTATTATATATCTTGCACGAGATTGCATGATTAGTAGCATGAGTTGCTTATATATCTTGCACGAGATTGCATAATTAGTCGCATAAGATTGCTTATGAGTTATTTAATAGAGTAAAAGACATTTTTGGTCCTAGACTTATAGTGACACGGACAATTTTAGTCTTCTTTAAAAAAATCAGACAATTTATGGACACTCTTATTGTAACGAGGACAATTTTAGTCATCCGTCAATATTTCCGTTAGATATCCCGTTTGAGCAGAGATAATTGCGTCTTTTCAACAACAGACCCATTTTCTCTCTGTTTCTCTCTATTCACGAAGACAACAACAACAACAACAATGGCAGCCACAATACCACCCATCTTCAACCTTCTTCTTCCTTGCCAACAACAAACAAGTTTAATCCACCAACAACCCCCATCTCCTCCACTCTTCCCGTCTCTCTCTCTCTCGTCTCTTGTCTCTCCCTCTTCTCAATGGCAAATCGACAGTAGCACAGCTCACCAACAACTGCAACACCCCACTGGCGGTGTCCTCTCGTTTTCCGGCGAAGCGGCGACAGGGTGCGTTAGTGGCGACGAGAGAAGTCCCTCTAGCAGCGACGAACGAAACAACTAAAATGCCGTATATTGCTCTTATAAGTCCAACTGTCCCAAGCCATTTGGCTAAGCCAGCTAGATTAATTTTCCCAACAGCATGAAGGAATTGGACATTGTTGTTTTCAATGCTCGATTCTTTCAAATGTATTTCTAATTGATCAAACCTTCTTAAAATACTTTAAACTAAAAGGCCATGCAATAATATTGGAAAAAGAATGCTCGTAATTAGCTAACAGCTACCAACTTATAACTAAATCAACTATCAGCCCAAATTTGTCAAACACCCTATCAACTAATTGCCAAACATCTCAATTATTTATTTATTTATTGTTGTTTTTTTTTTTTTTTTGAAAACAAGAATTTTTTTTTGAAAACTATTTATTGTTGTTATTAATGTAAAACTAGTAGTTGCACCCGTGCGATGCACGACTATATATATAGTATATGGAATACACAATCTAAAATATACACATTGAAAATGTAATAAATTTGAAATGTTAAACTTTGTAATTTTATTACACATTGTTGAATACTTCTTTATACACAACATTTTTCGTCGTACTTAGACATGTTACATTTTCGCCACAAATCAAAATTTTTAAACCCCTTGGGTTACTAACTCTTAAAACAGCTACGTATATTTGGCCATGGTTAAAGACAGACCTTTTAAAAAACAATCGCACTTTTGAGAGTGTTTGTCCTTGATTTTTGTTTATTGTCACGGCATAAGATAACATCAAAGGAAATTGCTTTCGTTGGAATTTGGAAGGCAATCTTAGATCTGACGGTGTTAGTGACATTATGAGAATTAAGACCTTTATTCCGGCATTTGTACCACACATTATCTGGGCTTCCAACACGTGATCAACCAACCTTGTAACAATCAACCTCGTACCATTACACAGTCCTAGAGTGTGATCAATATTTCTCAACAGAATAATGGGTGAACCAACTTTCAAAGTCAAAGCATGATTCGGTACTCCAGAGCATCGCAGACCATTCAAGAATTATGTTGTGTGCAAATCCACTAACATATCTACATTTGAATCAGATTTACAAACAAAATCACAACTCAAATAAGTCATACCTTCAGCATGATTATGATCATTCATGTATTGATTAATGCTATCAACCACATCCAATGTTAGAGCCAAAATATCACTATTCTTAAGATAGGATAGATCACCTATACTGCGTCGAAACAAAGGGAAGGTGTTATCAACAATTGCAGCAATATGATCATCGTCACACTTGAGCAATAAGTGATCTGGAATTGTAATATCTACTTCACCATCAGTTGAATTACCAACTACCATCACATATATTAGCTATCCATTTTGCAAACTCTCCAATCTCTTTAGCCTCAAGCTCTGATTGTACACTTCTTAGGCATATATTCTTAGTTAGCCTAAATACTTTACATGATCTCCAAAGATAGGAGAAGTTTATGCTTGCCCCCGCAATATCTTGTTGTGTGCCCTTTGGAAATTTGCCTGAAATCGCCACAAAAAACAATTGTTTTGCCAACAAAGGTCATATCATAACTATTTGGATTTTTGGAGCGTAACAAATCCCTCATTGTCCGGTCTAGAGCTTCAAAGCAAAATTTGTGCATCATTGGAGTTTCATCCCATATTATGAACTTGTTTTGTACAATAAGCTCGGCCAATGGACTACTTTAACTTATATCGCAAGTGGAATCTTCATTAACAGAGATATGTACCGCAAATCGAGAATGAGTAGTCCTTCCACCTGGTAATAAAAGAAAAGCTATGCCGCTAGACGCAACATTTAAAACAATTTCACCCTTAGACCTTAAAGCGAAAGATAGTGCTCTCTACAAAAGGTCTTACCAGTACCTCCATACCCATAAACAAAGAATAACCCTCCCAATTTGCTTTCAATATCTCCTAACACCTCATCGTATATGACCTTTTGCTCTTCTGTTAATTGACTAACCAATACTTCATTCTCGCTTGTTTCTAAGCATCACAATCATATGCCAATTCCTCTTAGAAGCTGAAATTAAAGTATTTGCCTAGATAATGAATAATAAAGGAAAATAGGTACCATGTGTCAAAGTAATTGTTGTTGCCATATCCGAGTTTACACGTTGAGCCTCCAAAGGTTGACCCGAATCTCGAGTGACCATAGTTGATTGTCTTTGAGTTGGGCAAAGCTTTTTGCAATTACTTTGAGAGCATTCATTTATACTTAACATATTTAGTATTACAAAAAAACGCTTGCCTATATTAAAATTCCAATTTTCCATACATGAGCCAAATAATGTAACTATATAGGTAATTTAATTGCTAACTGTAGAAAACATTAAAATAAATAAAATGTAAGCTTTTGTAGGGAACTAATTACCGATTGTACAATAATTTGTGGTTTGGATCATTGAGGGTATAAACTTTTCTTCAAAAGGTGAGAGCAAGTCTCTTGACACAACATTTTCTTTTGTAGTAACTGTGTAATTCATTTTGCACATGTTTTTGTGGAACCCATTTTTAACATTAGATATTGTCACGCCCACTTCTAGGACATGACCCGGTCGTATCGTTACGTGAAGACTTATAACAATACGCAGCCTAACCATACATACCTCTCGGAACCTTCATATTTTGAATTGTTTGAGCCTATTGTTTTTGTTTTGTTAAGCCCACTCAAGTGTATATTCCAAGTACCTTTATTACACATACATAATAAATTACATTAAATATATAATAATACAGTGAGATAATAACAAATAAATTTAGAATAATTTACAATAATTCATAATATATCGAATTATCGATACATCTACAAAAAATACATCCATATCGCAATTAGTGAAACATTTACCGTTACTAATGTTACTCATTGGTGTAATATTTTGAGTAGAACACCCTCCAATTGTAAATCTTCTTGAATTACTTGAACTACAATAGTTTGTGCCTTGAGTATCGTAATTAGCTAAGAGCTACCAACTTATAACTAAATCAACTATCCGCCAATATTTGTCAAACACCCTATCAACTAATTGCCGGACATCTCAATTATTTATTTATTTATTGTTGTTGTTGTTTTTTTTTTTTTTTTTTTTGAAAACAAGAAATTTTTTTGAAAACTATTTATTGTTGTTATTATTAACTAGTATTTGTCCCGTGCGATGCACGGAAAATATGTTATAAAAATATACCCTATATGAGGTTTATTCATATATAAAATTTTTGTTATTTAATAATTATTATGTGTGAATTCCTATGATAAAATTATGAACATAAATATATTTACAATTAAAATAATATTTAAGGTGGGTGATTACTACAAATCTTAAACTATATTAAAAATTTAGTACATAGTATTTAATATTACAAATTTTTAAGAACTTAGTAAACTACAATAGTAATTGAATTACAATTTTAGAGTCACCACGGATCAAAATTTTTAGACTTTTGAGATTTCTAACTCTAGATGTAGCAACATACAATTGACCTTTAAAGACCAAAATCACAATCTTAGTTCGAACATTGATTTTTTTCTTCCAAATACTATCGAATTAAGTGTGTAATCAATAAAAGATGAGAACTAATAATTTGAGAATATAATCTTAATGTTACTAAACCACTTCACGTCAATTAAGTTGGAGAGTGTTGTTGGATAGTATCCGATGAATCCACGAATAACGCATCTTTGTCTCCGTAGTTCTCAATATGCACATCAACAATCTTAAATATTAGACCGCCTAGCTATGCCATATATTAATTTCAAACTTATGAACTTTGGGGTTGCATGCAATAAAAAGTATATTTTAAATATACTAAGGGTACATTATATATGTATGTAAGGTACTTTCAATATAAAAATAATGTATTTTTAATATATTAAAAATGTATTTAATATTCATGATCCATACAATTATGTGGACCATTGTTCCTCACAATAATTTGCCAGTAGAAATTGAAATATAAATAAATATAATAAATATAATAAATAAATATATATATATATATATATATATATATATATATATATATATATATATATATATATTAGATAGAAACTGTTCGTGTAAATTATTATCATTATAATTATTATTGCAATTATTATTATTATTATTATTATTGTTATTATAATTAACAATATTATTATGGTTTTGTGAAAATTAAATGTTGATAAATGTTGATTATCAACATTTAATTTTCACAATAACAATATTATTAGGGTCTTGTGAAAATTAAATGTTAATTATCACCATTTAATTTTTACAAGATCATATGGCTTTATTATATATAGGATAGGATGTATAATGATAAAAAGGGATAAAAGGTTGAAGACGCTTATAAACCGACTGAACCAGCTCCAAATTTGTATGGAACCGAACAAAAAGCCGGTGCTTTGCCCCGTTTAAAACGAACGTGAATGACAGACCGCTAGTCCATTAGTGATTTGCATAGCAATTAAAACCCTAGCTAGCATTATTAGGTACCATACTCGAGAATGGAAGATAGCTTCAGAGTTCGGGTGGATAAAGCATTCGGGTCTCTACTGGCGTCGCCACCGTCGTCTTCCGATAGTAGAGGGAAGGAGACTTCGTCGCTGCCGCTAAGCTCCCTATGGTGTCTGACGGACGAGGAGATCCAGAGAAAGGAATGGAACAGGGACCCTGGCGACCACGACTTCTATGATTCCATGCCCTACCCGCCCAATCTCGACGGCTTCGTCTTCGCTAATAATAATAATCATACCGATGATGTTGCGAATACGGCACAAACAGTTGTTCCGTCGTCTTCTCAGCCTGGGCCCTCATCCCCGGATCTCAATCAGCAGTTTGAAACTGACATCGTAGACATTGACTACCTTTCTGAAGATTATGGTGACGATGAAGATGAAGAACCAAATAGTAAAAGCAAGAGGCAGCGTGGAAGCCCCAATGACGATGACGATGATGAATCGAATATTCGATCTTCTATTGGCCAGGATTGTACCCTTGACTACGAGGTACGAGCTACTTCTCTGATTCGTGCACCTTTTTTGTGTAAACATAAAATTAGTTACTCCGTAGTCCGTAGTACAGTGATAGATTTGAGGCAAATGTTACAGAATAGCATTATGCGAGTGATTAGAAATAACTTGCCATACAGAAAAAGGCCCATTGTTTTTATAATTGCAGAATACTCAATCAGTCTCATTATGTAAAATTACCTTGTTTCTTTTGCACTTAAATGGATGCCTCATTTCTGGCATCAAATACCACCTTTTTGTAACTTCTTGATGTCTTATTTTTTTATTTTCTACAACTGAAATAAAGTTGATTTGAAATTTCGACAGCAATGGGTTGGAGGTAGTAATGGTTAATTCTATATCTAATTCTATTTACAATTTTGCATGAGACAGTGAAAATTTGAATTTTAACAAAGAAATGCTACTACTATTTCCAACAGATTTATTTTTAAGGTTGCTGTCTTATATTGTGTCAATGTATCAAGACAAATTCACTTACCCAGCATTGCATTAAACATTGTCTCTTTGCTGGTTTTATTTTTGGACAGGAAGAGGAAAATGAATATGATAAGGTAGCTGTGGGCAGGGAAAAGGTGAGTGATCATTGTTTATACATGAGGGATGCTACTGAATATGGAATTGGTGTCAATACCTACAATGAACTTCCTGATACACTTCAAGATTTTGTAAGGGATCCTCGTGCTGATCATGCCGCTGCCAAACTTAGGCTCAAGGAAGATGCAGAGGCGGCTGGGAATTTTGATTTGCTTAGGCTTTCTGATGCTCCTGAGGTTTCGAGTTTCGTATTGGAAGATGGAAGCAGCAGAAAGTCTATAATCAAGAAGAGAGATGGTCAGAAAGATGTAAAATCACAAAAACGGGTGCGGTTCAACAATAACAGTACAGATGGAAACTTGATAGCCACTAAGGAAAATTGTCCTATCAAAGAGGAAAAGGCTTCTGGTTCTGGAGAGGGTTTAAACATGATCCAGGATACATTTGTTCCAGATTATATAAGGAACCCTTCAAATTATACTCATTACACTTTTGACACAGCCGCTGATATGGATGATAATTCAAACCGAAAGGCTTATTTGGACTTCCTTAGTCTTGTAAGAAAGCCAGGCATCACCACCACAACAGTGCAGCATCAAGGCAATTTGGTGAATAATCCTCCAAAATCGGTTATCTTCAATCTAAAGAAGGCGAGTCTTGATGTCCATACAGACAAAGTAGGAAACAAATACCCTAATGTGCATGTGGAGAAATATTCACGAGTTGGAATAGCCCTCAGTGATGATGCCCCAGAAGACGAAGTCGTCTCTGCCATGGAAGAAGATGACCACGGAATAGCAGTTGATACAATGAACACAACATTGAAATCCAGCCGACAGTATCGAGTACGGACAAAAAGGGATTTTGACGATCAAGAGTAAAGACGCCTGTATGAAATTCAACAAAAGAATTGGAAATAAATGCTGTTCAAGATTTGACAATAGAAAGAGTGGCTTCGGGAATGTTGGTGCTTTGAACTGAAATTGTCAGAATTGATTCTTAAGAGAATAGCACATACAGGTTTGTACAACACAATAATGTCACTCACACTAGAAATGTAGAATTGACAGTTCAACTTTCATTTTGTAATCTCCATTTTTGTTATAGCAGAAGAAGTTGCTCCCAAGTCCCAACTCAAACTCTTTTTACCTGTGCCATTGAACTAGTGCTTTCATATTGCACTTTCATATTTGGTACATTTTGTACCATTGTTGGCAGTACTTTATAGTATTGGTAAGGGACGTTTGGTTATGTAATCCTAGATTACCTAGGTATTGAGTTTGTCAGTATGATAATGATAATGTTATATTATCCCAATTGTTGGCAGTTGTCTTTTCCTATCGAGTTTATAATAGCTTCTAGTGCTCTGAAGGGAGTGGTTGAGCGGACGTAATATAATTATCCTATCTAAAAGTTATAAGTTGAATTCTTGTTAACATTTTATGAGGAGAATAGAACGCAAGGCGGTGACCCTGCTCACAATTTTTGCCAACGAATCAATGACGGTATTAAGTCCTTGTGGAACATGGGAGATTTTAATTTCCCAGTCCCTGCTCATCCAGTTCATTTTATTGCTTCTTTTCATATTTAACTGAGGTAAAAGTATAGGAGTACAATTGTCTTTTTGGTGGCTTTATTGCGTATTCTTATCGAAAGCCAACCATCTTTAATTTCCGCTTCTTTTTCATTCAACCAAAATAGTTTCGTGTTGGCATCCCATTATATTCTTGGTCTCTGAACACCGCGTTGTTTCTCCATCTCCACAACCACCAAACTCTGATGGTGAAGAAAGCTATCCAGTCCTTTTTGGCTGGTCTCCTTGAACTCTCCCTTGATATTGCGTGTAAGCTAGCTGTCAAAATCAGCCCGTCCCCACCAATCGCTTGATATTGCAGAGGCGGGGACAAACGCTTTCCACAGCTTCGAAATATGTGATCACATTCTTCTACTGTACCGATACAGTGACAGCAGGAATCATCATTCATCAATGGTGAAACCTCTCCATTTGCGCTCAATATTGCAGAGGATAAGCTTATGTTTAATGAGGCATGCATAGGAGAGAGCACATTTTGTTAGGAGCTTTAATCCTCCATATCGCTTCCCACTCTGTACTTGTAGTCAAGTTACTTTCTGTACATGGAGGAAGGATCATCCATCCATGCGTGCCATTCTCCTCCGTCGCTGCTCTTCTTCTTCTTCGCACCCATCCTGAAAGTCAACCGGCATAGCAAAGAAAAATATGCATGTGTTAATATAGGTGAAAAGACAGTATTACCCTTACATTTAACGCCCATTTGACACCAAACTTAACTGAGGACCACATATGGTTATTTTTTAAAACATGGAGGATGGAGGACGTCTCGTGGTCGTTTAAAATTCGGAGGACCACAGTTGGTAAATCCCTAATACTCGGCATTGGAGGTATTAACTCCTTTAAAGTATTTCAACCTTTCCCTCGTTAACTAAACATTATATAATGATAATAGTAATAATAAGAGTTAATACTTGATTTTGTCTCTCGACTATTAGGATTTCATCATTTTAGTCCTCGATTTCCAATCTTGTTCAATTTCATCCTCAACTATGCATTTTTTTCTAATATCTAAAATAGTCTTGGGGCCAAATGAGACGTCAAAAATGAGGATAGAAACGTAATTTTCCATTCTTGACCTTCTCGAGTTGTCTATTTTCATCTCTTTACTTGCCTATTTTCCAGAGTAAACAAATGAAGGGAACTAAGATTGATACTACAACGATGAAGAAATGGGGGCAAGAAGAAACATTGGTACTTGCAACTATAATACAAGTACAAATTTTGTTTTTGTCTGTTATTTATGCGTTTATGCGCGCGCGCACACACACAAATATATATATATATATGTGTGTGTGAAGAAAGTTGTATGTGGGTTATTCGAATGTTGCTTTGTATGTGGGAAGCTGTATTATTGTTTGTATGTGGGTTGTGGTAGTACGAGTTGCTGTGTTCAATGGGGATCAAAATGCATTCTATATGGGTTATTGTTCATATGTGGGGTGGTGGACTGGTGGTGCTTCGAATATATTCAATGCTGACCTAGGTACTGTGTTTTTTAATTAGCTTTTGTCTATTGGCCCAAGGTGGCGGGTTTGACCCGCTTCGGGGTTGACCCGTCACCCTTGACTTTGACCCGTAGATCGGGTCCCGAACCGCTCAATCTCGACCTGACTATACACGGACTCGGGGTATATAACCTATCATGAAGTCCCTCAGTCCATGTCCTGACGACGAGTTAGCAAGGAAGGGTTCGGGCTGGAAAAACGGGTTACACGGTCCGTGACATGTGCCGATTGCCTCGTTAAAAACCTCAGGCTAACAAAAAACCCAGTGGGAAAAACTTTAGCCAAAGGAAAAGACTACAACGCTAAACACAGTCTAGGTGGACCAAAAAGGAGTGCCCGACCCAATGGTCGGACTTGCAACACAACTTGCGAAAGGTTAAACTCAATCGTTCCAACGAGTGGACTGCTGAACGTGACCAGGTGGTCGATTCGATTACGATCTGGAGATCTATTTAACCAACTACGGGGTTGGATTTGCTTATGACTGAGAGATTGGATTTACTCGGGTGAAACGTTACTCGGGCGAAATGAACGCGATTCGACCGTTTTGACCGACGAACGTGCTACTCGGGCAAACTAAAACGCAGACGAGCTACTCGGCCGGTGCAGGCCCCAGTCCCATGGATGCGAGAATTGTCAACATAAGGGAATGGATACGACGGGTTGCCGATCGGGAAACGACATCGTGGTCGGGAAATGACTCGACCGGGTCCGCAATGCGAGTCCACCCGGCTACAACTACTACCTCGACGATCGGGAACGACATCGCTAACGAGCGGTACATACACATCGCTGAAAAATTGGTAAAACATCGCACAAAGACAATAAACACATCGCTAAAAGCGGCATCGCCCAAAGGCGGTAAACACATCGCTAAGAAGCGGTATATACATCGCTGAAAAGCGGCATCGCTAAGAAGCGGGATAAATACATCGCTGGAGAGCAGCATCGCTAAGAAGCGGTAAATACATCGCTAAGAAGCGGCATGACTAAGAACTGGAATATACATCGCTAAGGAGCGGCATCGCCTATAGGCGGTAAACACATCGCTGAAAAGCGGCATCGCCAAGAGGCGGTATACACATCGCTGAAAAGCGGTAAACCCATCACTAAACGCGACATCGCTAAGAAGCGGTAACAACCGGTATAACCGGACTCACAGCTCCGGTGGTGGCAATACCGACCTAACCGGTCGCGGAGTGCCAATGGTGGCGAGGCCAACCTAACTGGTCTTTAGAAACGCCGAAGGTGGCAGTGCCAACCTACTCGGTCTAAAAAAGCGCGTAACTTACTTTCACTTCTCGCCGGAGGTGGCAGCTCCGACCTGCTCGGACTGGAAAAGTGTGTAGTAGGCCGACCGGGCACATGGCCTCAGGCGACCCACGTACCAGAATGTTACTTGAGCAGACGAGTTTGAATCGGCCGCTCCAGGCCGACCGGGCGCATGGTCTCAGTCGACCCACATACCAATAAGCCGACCAGGCGCATGGCCTCAGGCAACCCACATATCAGTATGTTACCCGAGCAAACGATTTGAACCGGCCGCTCCTCAACCGACAGCCGCCCTACCCTGTCCATCCCCCCACTGTCGGACGCACTTAAGTATAAGGGCGTGTGGCAGTGGAATTAGCGGCCGGGCGAACTTAGGGCGTGGTCTCGCTATCGGGCTGTTGCCCTCACCGGCTTTAACCGGAAAAAAGTTTAACGACATTGCGGTCGTCGGGCTATTGCCCTCATCGGTTGGTGCCGGAAAAAAATTTAACGACATTGCGGTCGTAAGCCGGAGCCTTTTCCGATTGGTCCGGAGACCCAAAATTGCCTACGTTGTAGGGCTTGACGCCGGGACTTTTCCCGGGCTTAACAATGCCGGTGGTGGCGAGACTGACCTGACCGGGCTCTAAGTGCCGGTGGTGGAATACCAACCTAACCGGGCTTGGGGTGCCGGTGGTGGAAATACCAACCTAACCGGACTTATTATAATTAAATTCTAACTATTACGTTTTAGATACTAGTCTATAGCCTATACAATTTATAATTTGGGCCTATACAATTTATAATTTGGGCCTATACAGATTACAACTTTAAAATGCTACGGCCCACTCTATTTTATGGCTAAGACTAATCTAACTAACTAATACAATTTATAAACGCTCAAAATATTTAATTTTGGATTTTTCATCGAACGCGCGTAGACTGCCAGCCACTCGTGCTTTTGTATACCGGGAAACCGATCTTTCACTCAAAGGAGGTCGGGAAACCGATCCGGAATCTGGTTGCGAAATTGATCGGTCACAATAACTTTGGGGTGCCCGGTCAACTTGACCGATGAAAGTGAGGTCGGGAACGACCATGAGGTGTAGCGGGGCGACAAGATGAACAACAGAAGTGACGACCGGGTTGAGTTTTGATTGGAGCTGACCACATGCGAGCAATTAGCGAGCGACGTTGATCGAGTTCGGAGGAACTCCCGGTAAGATGGAGCTTCCCAACCGAGATCGGAAAGCTAGTCGGTAACTGCGGTCGGCCTTGATTCTCGATTATTTGATAAACAATACGATAGATTCTGATTCCACGAGCGGAGGGTCGGGAGACTGATCAAGCAAATTCTCGCTCGGGAGGCCGGGAAACTGATCGTGTAACTTGGCCGGTTCAACAGAGAACAAGCTGTTCGGGAATACACGCCTCGTGAAATCTACGATGATTGCTCAGAGAAGACCACTCGGGGATGAAGCGGTCGCTCGGGATCATTAAAAACATACGTTTTCCCTTCTCTTTTGACTTTTCTTTTATTTCTCTCTTTCTTTCCACCTTCTTGGACTTCACGCTCCACCGCCACAACCGCCAATAAGAGTGCATGCATGCACTTTTCCATTTTATTTTCCACTTTGCTTTTTGAATAACTCCACCGCCATCATCAACAAATAGTCTTGCGATAAAAAGTCTGACTTTGCTTCTCTTTGCCTTTGTCCTTTATCCCCCCTCTACCCCCTTTTTAAAATGTGTTTCTTCATCAACAGAGGAAGAACTCACAGGAAACGCTGCAGAGGATTGACGATCGAAAATGCATGGTGGTGTAACTTTTCCGGCGGCGGTAAATGGTGAGCCACGTCCTCCTTCTAGCGCCCGGTGGTGGCGAGGATGCTCTATCTCAGATTGCCCGTAACTCTGTGAGCCGCCACTATTGAGAACAGGTGACTGGAGAGTTTAGAGGAGGAAGCTAGGCAGTGGAGAATGGGTGCGATTTGGTCCGACTCCTATCTGTGAAGCCGAAATCCTCGGCGAGCTCCCTCAACAGCGAACGACGACGGCAACAAGGAAAGCCAGCGACCTT